CCTGTACCCTGAAACTGTTTCTCAAAGGAGGCTCACACGCCCCTTCTTTCTCATTGTTCTGAAAGCTTCTAAATCTAACTTTTATTTTCAAGGAGTTATCTCCATGTTGGTTATTTCTGTAGTTTAAGGATTAGCATCATCTCTTCTAATTTTTATTATATTATTTCTATGCACTATGAAAGATCATATATGTGGTAGAAAGTGGCCTGTTAATGCTATAAATAAACACCATATTTACCTGAAAGGAAAGCAGTGCTGAATTTAATATAATGCTTCTACCTCCCAAAGGAAGATAAGGCAGAAAAAACTCCCTCATCTGTATTATCTGAAAACCATTACCACATTTTCAGTGACAACCTTTCCATTTTAAATATAAATTATTTGGGGAAAATATTATCTCTTTTCAGTAAAATGTAATATGCATTGCTTTATACTATCAGAAATATATCCATTATTACTCTAAAGATTTGTAGAGTATCAATGGCTCTTTCAATAAAAGTAACTGGGATTGGATTTGGCCTAAGTAAATTCTAGATAAATATCAGATGTTAGATCCTTGCATATGCAACATGCAGTGGTTGGCAGTGTTTTATTTTAGAGAATTTAAATTACTTTTCCCTTTGCACGCTAACTTTTTTGAGTTAAAAAAGGATGAGGAGACATAGTGCCTTAATATGCTGCAGTAAGGCCCAGTCCAGTGAGTGAAGTCACAGTAAATCTTTACAAAAGCTGGTCATTGATCATGTTTTAAGGATCTATGTAAACTTACATGCATAATGTATTTCTTTCTGATGATTATGACAAGCCAAAGTAAAAGAAAATCAAACTGAAACAGTAAAAAAAAAAGCTGTTAGCAAATAAATAGAAAAGAATAGAAAATGACTGAGCATTGCAAATGTTATATGTTATAAGAAATTTAAGTCAAAAGCAAATCAAGAAGGGACAACCTTCTTTTTAAAGCATAATAAGAAAAGCTAATGTATTTTAATGGGATGAATCAGTAGGACAAAGAAACCATGAAAAATAAATAAATATGGTGGTGTGCGAAAAAATGGTGCAAAGAAAGCATTGCAAATTAAAAAGGCATGTAAATGTGTGCCTACCATTTTCCAGATAAGAAGGGGCCGTACCTTCTGAGGGGTCAAGGCGGCGAGCCCGCCTTCCATGTTTGGAGTTGTTGTGTACAAACATGTTGTCTGAGACAGCCAGAACATGGCCATCCACATTGACTGTTGTTGATACAACAACCTAGGGGAAAAAGAAAGAAAAGAAACACATTTCTTTTTTGAAGCTTATAGACTCTGAAAATGTGGTGCATCTGTTGCAATAAACAGTATGCTAAAAAAAACAACCTACAATGTAGCATGTTCTTTTTGTGAACACAGTGTTATTCATGGATGCAATTCACTCCTTTTTTGGCTATCAGTGGAGATTTTTCTACACCCCATTTCCCTCCCTTCTTCAACACCCTCCGCACTAATTAGAGTTTAATCTCCTATTATGCTAACAAATGAATTCAATTCTGGGAAAATATTCTTCTAGTCATTTGTTTCAGAAACACTCCTCTAACCACTCATTTTAAAAGCTACTGTTTTGATTGATCTGTTGATATATTGATTAGATAGTTTATCTAATTAAAATTTGTACACTTGAGACTGTCTTCAAATGAAGAATTGTGAGCACTCCAAGTCAAAGGGGAAAATACTTCATAAATCAGTAGCTATGTGTAACTTTCTGTTTTCTCTTCAGAAATGATCTTTAGGTCATTTTTGCCATCATATTTACAAAGCAATCTTATAAATAGGTGTATGGGGACAGGGAACTTCCAAAAATAGAAGAATTGCTTCATCCAAAGATTGAAAGGGAAAAAAAGAAATGGCATTCCTCCCCAACTTTTTTTTTTTCCTTGTCCTCCCCTTAAACAATTTCCCTCCTAATGATTCCAACTGGATAGAAATAAACTTTACTGGTATAATTTGTCAGATATTACAGAAATATTTTGGGACACAGGATGGCTTTGTTTTTATAGCTCCAGCCTCTCTCAATATCTTTATGTAACTCATAGAGAACACTCCCTTTTGTACTTTCTAGAACGTGAGAAAGGGAAATCTAAAACAGATTTTGGCACCTTCCTTGACATTGTATGATTGTAGCAATTCTAGTGCACCCTAAAATATGGATGCTCTAACAATTCCAGATTATTTAGTAAGTCATAAAAAAGGACAGGAAGATGATTGCATCTCTCCATCTTCTTTCAGGGTTTTTAAAAAGAATATGCTTTCTCTCTGCATGTAATACAGAAATATTCTTTCTAGCTATATACAATTTTCCCAAGTCAGGTGGCATGTAGGAGACCATTGGATCCTTCAGATCCAAACATTTTTTCACTTCTCCCCCAGTTCAACTCTCAGAATCAGATTTCATGATTATGAAAAGAACCAGGAAGAGATTAACCTATGCTGGATTTGCCCATCTAGGTCAGAGCAATTCTTCTGATCACCAAAGGGAGAAGTGATCAACTGCTGTCCAAAGAGCTTTAAGAATGAATTCTTAATGTCTGATAATGCATGTTTTCTGCATCTGAAAAGAGCATATTGAATATGAATATTAGAAGTGTCTTCAATCCATTGAAAGTTGCCATAATTAAATTAATTCATATGTTGATTTATTCTACCATGCCAATGACATCTTCTTTCTTATGTTTAACTGAAACTCTTCTATTTCTAGTTTCAGAAGCTCATTGACAACCAAGTACTAAACAAATCTAACCCTGTCTATTGCCGTGTCCACCACAGGAAAGTAATGGATAAGGCTTTCCGACTGTTTCTTAGTACAAATTTTACAATGAATACTTACAAAAACAAAAATTCTTGTATTAACATCTATCCACTAGATGTTAGGGTACCATTCTACTGCAATAATCAATTAATTATCATTATAATGAAAAGCCTTTCCTATCTCATCCAGATATATGATACTTTCTTAGGTTGTATTTATTATAAGGATCCTGCATGTGCTTATAAGTCTACCAAATTGTAATGGTATAGGAAAATGACCTTGGGAGATGGGGGGAAGAGATGCTGCTTAGGGAACAATCAGATAAGAGTGGGGCATAGCCAGCAGCTGTATAATGGGAATAGAAAGAAACTCAGAAAGGAGCCTCCCTAACTTATCAGGCTGTACAAGAGATAGCAGGAGATTTGTACTTTCAGACTTGCAAGTTTCTATTAATGTAGCCTTACAATAAAGTAGAATTAGTTCATCTGGCTGTGTTTCCTGTCTGGTCTACCTGAGAAGGCTGACATCAATGCTGCAAGTCTGAAAGTAAAACTCTTCCACCATTTCTTTTACAGCCTGATAAATTAGGGAGGTTCCTTTCTAAGTTTCTTTCTCCCCCCGTTATGCATATGCAGACTATGCCCCCTCTTATCTTATCATTCTCTAGGCAGCATCTCTTCCCCCCTGTCTTCCAAGGTCATTCCCACATACCATTACACAATCAAATTTAGAAAATTACACTGAACAACTAAGAGAGAAGCTGCAGTTAAACCAGTGTGAATAGTGGTTAAATTATTGGACTAGGACCAGGAAAATCCAGATCCAGGTCCACCTTCAACCATGGATACTCATAGGGAGACTTGGGGCCACACACTTACTCTCAGCCAAATACCTCACAGGATTGTTGTGAGGTCCTGGAGATAAGGTGGGATATTAATCTAATACATAAATTTAAAAAAATCTTTGTTTTACTACTCCTCTACTTAGATCATTCTTCTAAGCTTCTGTGTTTCTTTTTCTAATGGAGCAATTCTTATTTTTCTAGTGTAAGATTAGAGAGGGTTCTGTGCATATCGACAAAATCACACATTTCTTGTTTGAAAGAAAAGAATGGAAGAAAGGAACAACTTACAGTGGTATACTGATAAATTAATGCAATATACTTTTCCTTTTGAAACCAGTGAGTACAAGGCATCAGATGTAAATTCTTTCGTATTTTCTATGTTTTAGATCACCTTTGATCCTGTTTTTTTCCACATGCTCTAATTAGCTATCAGCTATTATAGCACCTTCTCCTGTATATTCTGCCTCCTCTGAGGCAGCCATCTGTGTTCCCCTTGAGAGAAGCCTGGGGGTGTTTCTCTAGAAGTCTGTGATTCTGCAGCCTGCACTGTTTTCTAAAAAAAAAACAAAAAACAAAAAACAAAAAACAAAACACCCTCACAGACTGTGTTGTTTGCCTAGGTTATCCATTATGAGGGATTTATGATGTTAACTATTTACAACATTTTAAATTTCATCCCTATAGCAACATTATTAGTTTACTGGATTTTAGCTTGCATAAGTTATAGAGGTGATTGATACACCCATTCCTAACAGTATAAAACACTTTTCATATTGAAGTGTCAGGACAATTGACCATAGAATGAAACATATTAAGTACAGTTCTAAGCAAAGCTTTTTCCTTTACTTTTTTCCAGTCGGTAGACCCACAATATAAATTTTAAAGGACAAATAAAGTCTTTAAAATATGCATTACAAATATATCAGTGAGTAATGATACAGGGGAGACAATGTTGTCCACAAAGGTACATTTGCTCTCTCTTTAGTTTTATGGACTCATTTCTGCAGTGCATCTAATGAAAGTGCAGACATAATTTAAAAAAAAAAGTTTAAAATCTTGTTCAAGACCTGACATACTGTTAAAACTACTTAAACATTGTAAGAAGTAGGCTTATTAGCTATGGAAGCTGAAGGAAGACTTTCTAGGAGTTCTGTTGCCCGCCACATGATTAATTATGACTGGTGAGACAAGTAGAGTAATTCCAGGTTTTAACTTCTGCTCTGTTCAGTGGATCATTATTATCAATAGTACATGAACCTGAGATACATGAAAATGAAGACTTTGTGAAATTATTTTAAGTTTTGCTTTTTTTCTTCCTACAGAGCCACACAGCTGTCTACACAGCTCTTTATTGTAGAATGAATAGTTTTACTGAACTGGAATAGCTATGTATATCTATGCTGTGCTATAGCCTTTAATAATGCTATTGTTCTAGAACAATTTCTAATTTTTAACATTTTTCTTAACTGCTCCCAGTCAGTAAAAGCAATTATCTGTTAAGGTATAAACTCTTCAATAGTAGCTTTGATTTACCAAAATAGTTTTGGAAAACTTAACAAGAAGCAAGTAGAAAACATTTTCCCATATTAATTTAAAGGATATCCAAAATTCAAGAAATGCCATTCTTTTTCTATAGAAATTATATTTTAAGGATATGCAAAATGTTTGTGAAGAATACAGTAATTCAATAGCATGGAGAAAGTTTTGAAGGCAGGAAAATTATTATTAGATATTTCCAAGTTCTTAGAATTTGTACCTGTTTTGCAAGAAGAGACATTCCTGCTTAGGTCTATTCAGATCATCATAGGAGAAGCAACTAAAATAAGAATTGGAAGAAGAGGGCAGAGCTCCTGTTTCTCTCCTGAAGGAGAACTGAAAATATAACTTGCAATTAAATTAGACAAATAATTAGGGGGAAAATGACAAACCTGGCTTAAATTAGCTGCCTTGAGTGTTCTTTCTGAACAGGGAGTGGTACAGAAATAAAATAATAGGCTTTTCCCTCTGTAGAAATCCTTACAAATCTTGCATGTGTAATTTTAATTCTTTTAAAATCAGTACCTGGAATCTTCGCATATCTCGTGGGTTGCCTGCATTCTTCAAACAGTTTTGATTGCACTTGAGGAAAAACTTTAGAAAAAATCTACAAAAATACAAAATTAGAATTTGTTAGGAAAATCAGGCATTAGTACGTAACATATTGTTGCTAAAAATTACAAGTAATGGATATCTGAAAACATACTCATTATATTACTGTAAAGTAGAAATATATCTAAACTGAAGACATTGCTCATAGCAACAGCATATCTTTGAATATCCCTATATTTCAGTAAAGGATGGATCTTTGGGGCCTGACCATCAAATAGTGCAATTCAGTGCAGACCTATTTAATAATATTAATAATGCAATCCTAATAATGCTTATTCAGAAGTATACATGATTAAGATTTCAGAATATCTGCAACCTTATACCTACTTATTCAAGAATGAGTCCCGCATAATTCAGCAAGATTAATTTTATGCAAAATATGCTGTATTAGTATAGAAACAGAGACCAACGTAAAATTAATGGCTGGAGTACTTTAAACTGTTACAGTGTCTTACAATTTTCTACATGCTTTAGTAAAGAAGAATTATATATGACCTAGCTGCCTACATGATATAGAATCTGCTTCCTAAAACATGTGTAAAAATGTATTTAGTTTATTTCATTCAGAATGGGTTTAATCCTATGAAGAAGTCTCCAAATTCTCTGCATTCAAAGTCCAAAGGTAAAACAAATAAACAAACAAACCTTTTGATCTATAATCACTTTAGCAATTCCTGATGGAGAAGACAGTTCACAAACTGGCATTTTATATAACCTTGAGTGCCAGCTAAATCTTAACATAGTAAAAGTATCAGCTGAATCAACAGCAGCATATAAGCCAGAAGCTCCTTAACTCAGAAGCATCCATTCTGGAAACCCAAGAGGTATGATTTTTGAGCCATTTTTTTTTTCTGAAAAACCAGCCCTCTTTACCACAAGTATATCATAACGCACTGCTATCAGTGCAAGCAACGTATAGGCCAGAGCGGACTGAGAAGCAATGAAGTATAGATTCCAGGCTATAAACATAAACTTTTAAGACTGTCCATTCTTTTCTGCAAGACATATTCTGGCCAAAAGGGATATAAAGCCTTAGATGAGCTCCATATTTTGTTGAAGTTAAGTTATCAACATGAAACTCTCCAAAGTCCCACAACAGTAGCCTGACCCAACCTGCTCCCTGACCGGCTTGAGGATCAGGTCTACTACATGAAACTACATCTGCTTCTTTTAAATTAATACTAGGTATAAGAAGTCATAGTTTCCATCATGATTGCAATGGGAGAGCAATTTTAGGATTTCCCTCCTCCACCACAATCTGAATATAAACCACTCTCTCATGCTTCACTTGACCTTAAAAAAAATCTAGTTAGTGCCAACCTTTCCAACTTTCCTTCATATTGTGGTTCTTGTTAAAATGGTCTCCTTTTTTTTGTCCTTTTGAAAGTAGACCTACACATTTCACATTTCAACAGTATGTGTGTGGTGGTGTGGGGGGGGGGGATGGTTGTTTTGGTATTTGTTAGATTAATCCCTTCCTCTCCCTCTTGCTTTTTGGTACACCACTCAGAATCACATTGTCTGAGTTGGGCAGATGTGATGGAATGTATCTACGAGGAGGAGGGTGATGTGGGAGATCAAGGCTAACAGGAAGGAAGGGGTGCATTCCAGGAGGGGGGAGGAGGCAAGAGACAGCATACTCTGCAGGGAGAGCGTGGGAAGCGAAAGAGGTTCAGGATAGCCACTCCCTAGAATCTCACAGGGTATATCCACTAGTTACTGTAGTATAA